AACTGTACAAGAAAACTCTCTGAACATGAATGTTTTATTTCAAGCTTGGAGTATGTGAAATAGCGCTTTGAGGTTGAAGCATTTTGTCTGTGCTATGACTCCACAGTATAGATAGAATGGCCAAGAACCACAGGCTGCCATTATGTGCAATCTCTTCTGATCTTCATGCTGCTTTTCGCTTAAGATATTTTTTTTTTACAAATTCTGTTCATGTTCTTTTAACTGTAATTATAGCTACATAAATTTTGAAGATTTTTTTTTCTCATCACTTAGAAATATGTGAAGTTTAATATAAAAGGACAAGCTTCCTCAGCAAGGCACTGAGTCTACAAACCAGAATTGTTCAAGCTGCGAGTTTTTGATATCTCATGTACTTTAAGAACAAATCAACCAACAACAACAAAATCTGTATCACTACTAATTCTACAATACAAATCAGTGATTCATCAGCAAATTACTGGTAGTAAGCTGAAGTCTAAATTTAGACATATACCAACAACTTTCTTTTTTTTGTTTATTACTATTTGCTCATTAATATTTTTCCTGGAAACATCTAATTGCAAATATAACTTGAATTACAAGCCAAATAAAGATGTAAAAGACAAGAGTACTGACATCTGAATTGCAAAAAAGATACTTAAAACAAATGTTAATGGATATTTTCGTAAATATGTCTTTGTAAACAAAGACACTAATGTAGATGAGACAAAATTATAAGTCAGTTGCCAAATTTATTATGAGAAAAGAGTTGCATGAATATTCAGCTCACATTGATACAATATTATTTGTTTAATAAAAGTATCTCTATAGTGGACCTGCCCAGTGGCAAAGAAATTCTGGGCCAAAGTTAAAAAGTGGTTAGGGGAAATAATACAGAATTCAACAAAGGGAAAACCAGAGCAATTTTTATAGGGATTCCCACAGAAAACTATACAAAGGAAATACAATATTTAATATTGCATATATTGACAGCAGCATAGTCTATGCGCAAAATTGGAAGAAAGAAGACTCACTATCAGAAGATTTAATTAAAAAAATTTGAGAATGCGCAGAGATGGACAAACTAACAAAAGAACTTAAGGAGAAAGAGGATACAGAGTATTACAAAGTGTGGTGTAGATGGTATGAATGGTTGGAAAACAGGAAAAATAAGAAAGAGGAATAAAGGAGAGAGGGAAAAAATGTTGAAGATCAAGATATAAGATAGACGAAATAAAGAAAAATGGTAAACAAGGTAGAGTAAGATAAGGTTATAATATGTGTAAATATGTATAAAAGTAAGAATCACTTTGAAAAAGCTGTAAAAAAAGTGATATGCATATAAATGTTGTATGTGTCTTGTTTTAATGTGTTCATAATAAAAAACTTTTTTAAAAAATGTCTCTATAGTGGTATTTAATTCTGTGATTTTAATACTGAAAACAAAAAACAAAAACAAAATCTGATTGGTAAACCATTGGTAAACCACTAATGTAGAGCTGTCAAACTCGCAGCCCATGGGCTGCATGGGTCACGCGCTGGCCACGCCCACACCCGGTTTAGCAAGGGGTCATGATACATCATGTGACACCGCTGTGACGACACAAGTTTGACACTCCTGCACTAAACCATATAGGAGTGGAGAGTGGCTATAGAAACAAAAACAATTCTAATTTTGCACTCAGTTACAATTCCTACCACAGAGTGATGAAATCATAATATTTTCAAAAAAGTCAGACTGATAATGGACATGGCAACAACCTAATTAAGATACAGCTTGGGTCACAAAGACGACTTCCCACAGAAATATATAGTCTTTGAAAAGATTATAAAAAGCAATTGTAGAACCTTCCTTCTTGAATTTGTTGCAGTGGCATAGAAGATCCTTCCTAGTGATGTCAAAATAATCATTTGTATCAATGCTACTATTTATTGTATAATAGATTAGTCAAGTAAACTTTTGTGACATTTTGGCAGATGCTGTATTTTCATAATGAAAACACTATGTAATACAATCAGGGGAGTCTTTCGTACTCTCTGAGCTTGATTGCAGACATTTCATTACCAAAACTAGGTAATATCATCAATGCTTCATGCAGACAGCCCCAAGGACACCTCATTCCAACCCAGAGTTACAAATATTCTTATTTATTGGTAATGCAATCAGGTTCTGAAAATGTACAGTATTTTTACTTTGCATTTACTAATGAAAATTACTTAAAACTAATATTATCTTTAGGTCATAGAGAAGAGCTAATTTTAAATAATGTATGCTTCTTATCCCATTACAGGTTTTAAATATTCATTCTCTTAACAAGGTAGCTCTATTTTTCCCTAAGAGTTGGTATGACAGATAGAGAACCATTTAAGTTGCCTCTCCTTGGCACATCAACAATTATCAACGTGACTCAAAAGCTGTGCTACCAAATTATATCTGTAACTATGGCAGCTAAAATAATTATGAGACACCAAGGGGAAATATGATGAGGGAGGGAGGGAGGGAGATCAATTTGGAAAAGGAGGGATTAGTATATTTAAGATCTTACAGCATTTCATTCTCTTGACATCTTCTAATACATGAATCTATGAATAATATTGCAAAATCAAACCAATTCAATTCAACTCATCAGAACTCTTCTCCAACAGAAAGCCTCCTCACTTCTTAGCAGACTCAGGGGTTAATAAACTCACATTTCCTTCTAGAACACGGGTGTCAAACTTTGCCATGTGACGTTTCACAATGTTTTTGATGTTTTTTCTCTTCACGGAGCTGGGGTAAGTGTGGCCTGTGCGTGATGCATTTGGCCTGTGAGCCACCAGTTTGACACCCCTGTTCTAGGGCAGTGGTCACCAACCAGTGGTCTGTGGACCACTATTTTGGTGGTCCACAGAAAAATTATTTGCATTTTTTTATATTGCACTAAATACTATTTATCTTTTTAAAAAATTCATACTAGTGATCCACAGGATTTAAAATTATGAATTTAGTGGTCCCTGAGGTCCGAAAGGTTGGTGACCCCTGTTCTAGGAGATTATCAGATTCCCTAAAGAAAGACTTAAACTTTGATGAAGTTTTTCAGTAACTTGATACAGCAAGTCTACAGCAAGAAAACATTAGGGGAAGACTGGAAATTAACTGTTGCCTACAGCTGCAGTTCCTACACTTACATTTGAGGCCAAGTCCCAACCTTAGTTCTTCTCTGGTTCAGATCTGATGCCCTGCCTATCAGGTAACCGGCTTACATTTTTTACCCTCATATCTAAGTGGCAGTTGTTTGTTTACATTTTCTTTATTCCCACCCTGTGAAACTTCAGGTTGTAATATGACCCTATTACTATGTTACTCATCGGGGACTCAAGGATGGCATACTAATTTTGTTTTTTCTTTTGTGAGTCTTTTATTCATTCATCACCTGAGAAACTGTCCCTGAATACAAACGTCATTCAAGGTACCATACTAACAATGAACTTACAAACATGAACTCAATTTGGTTCTTATGACTGTGATATAACTGTGAGTTCAGGCAGCCATAAAATATCTCCACATTTTTGCAAGGGTCTAAATACAGAAATGCCTCCCATTGTAGGCAAACCTATATGAAATTAACATCAATACCACAAAACTTAGTATTCTAGTTATAAAAAAACAAGATCTGGAAAATGTCTATGGAAATTCTCAGTCATCCAGGCCATGGTTGTCTCAAAGGTGCTTTTTTCAAGAGACACTGTTTCTTGTTTTTCTTTGAAGACATTTTGCTTCTCATCCAAGAAACTTCTTCAGCTCTGATTGGATGGTGGAGAATGGAAATGGATTTATACTCCTTGCAGACAGCTGGTCATTTGCATTCTTTTAACGAGTCGAGTTGTTAAGGCCACCTGGAGATTTATCTGTCAGGGTCACCTGAGTGGTGCAAGTAGGTATGAAGCCTTCTTGGAACTGTTGAAAGGACTGTGTTGTAGACTTGAGATAGATGACATCGTATCCCTCCTTCTTTGTTGAGAAAGGGCTGTTCAATTTTGACATAGATGCCCTCTTTGACCCTTCTTTCAAACCAGCGGTTCTCTCTGTCCAAAATGTGGACTTTGCTGCCTTCAAAAGAGTGGCCTCTGTCTTTTAAATGCAGATGGAATCCTGAATCTAGTCCTGATGGGTTTGTTCTTCCTGATGTTGTTCCCCGCGTTTGTGAAGTGGTTGTTCTGTTTCCCCAACATACAAGGCAAACATCCTTTCACTCCCCCTCCAGTCAGAGCTGAAGAGGCTTCTTGGATGAGAAGCAAAACGTCTTCCAAAAAAAAAAAAAAAAAACCACCAGAAAGTCCAGTTGTCTCTTTGAAAAAGCACCTTTGGGACAAGATCTGGAAAAACAACACACGGGCAAACACACATGCCTGCTTGCAACAGGTCACAGCTAATTTGCAATTTATGCATCCTTCCTGGAAGACTGGTCGTATCCAACTCATGGGTCCTTCTAAGGATGCCTGCAGAGACATTCGAGGTTAAAAAGTTATTACATCTCTCCTAGGCCAGGGATCTCCAACCTTGGCAACTTTAAGCCTGGCGGACTTCAACTCCCAGAATTCCCCAGCCAGCTTTGCTGGCTGGGGAATTCTGGGAGTTGAAGTCCGCCAGGCTTAAAGTTGCCAAGGTTGGAGATCCCTGGCCTAGGCTGTATTTAAGAAAAGAAGGCTTTCGGTTCCTTCCCTCCCCCACCCCCCACCCCATTCCTTGGGGTCGCATCGCATAATAAAGGCTTCCCGCAAGCACGAGCGTCAGCTTTCCCCAGGGAGGGAGGAAGAAAGCTCGCGCCAAAAACCCTCCGCCTTCCCCGTTCCAGCGTCGCTCCGAGCCACTTATACATAGATATATATATAATGAAAAAAGCCTCTTCCTGGCTCCGCCTCCAACGCCTTTCCCCTCCCCCCGCACCCCCCGCACTCTTCCGCCACCTTCTCCTCCCTTTGCGTCCTGACGTCAGCTCGGGTTCAAACGTTTGCTCGCGTCCTCATGCAAACGGGGTGGTGGTGGTGTTGTGGAGGGGAGAGCAGGGAGCACGCGCGCGCGCGCGCGCGGCGGCGCAGTTTAATCACCGAGCGAGCGGCAGCAGCAGCAGCAGGTTCGGAGGTATTGGCCGGAGTCTTGACGGGTGGGGGGGGGGGGGAGAGGAGAGGAGAGGAGACCGTTGGGGGTGGGAGGGGGGAAGGAGGAGAGATGAGTGCGGGACTGATTAGTTGATGGCCGCCTTATACGGGGGGGGGGGCAAAATTTCCGGGGGGGGGGTGGACTCCGGCGAAGGCGACTACCGCTGTGGGGCAGCCGAGGCCTCCTTGAAAGGAAAGCCGCTTCTCGCTTCTGCCTTGCCCCCCAACCCCCTTGCCTGGTCCTTCCGGGCAGCGGCAGACAAGACTCAAACAAAGGCCCCGGCGTCGTCGTCCCGCTCCGCGCCCTGAGCCGAAAGGACCAGGCCCGCGCGAGTCTGCCCCGAGTGCCCACCTCCCCCCCCCCACCACCACAGTTTGTGGGTCGCTGATTGGGAGTCCAACCTGCCCTTCTGCTTCTGCTGCATCCTTCCCTCCGGCCAAGCGAACCTGGACGGAAGGGCGGGCTCTTCCTCCGCCTCCAAGCGCTCTTTTCTGGACAGCGGTTGTTTTTTTTTCTCTCCCCCCCCCTCCCGTCACTCTGCGCCCGTCTTAATTTTTGACTTTGCAGGGTGAATGTGCAACTCTCGCAAATGTTTTTTCTCTCGGTGTTTTTTGGGGTGGGGTGGGGGGTGGAAAGAAGAGTCGGATGGTGGGTAAAAGAGCTTTTGTTGAAGGTTGTATATAGATGGAGATAGGATAGGATAGGATAAGAAGATAGATAGATAGATAGATAGATAGATAGATAGATAGATAGATAGATAGATAGATAGATGATAGATAAGATAGATGATAGATAGATAGATAGATAGATAGATAGATAGATAGATAGATAGATAGATAGATAGATGAAAGAAAGAGAGGGAGAGGGAGAGAAAGGAAGGAAGGCAAGATTGGCAACTTGGTCGGATGATTGACGGTATGCAATTTCATTGGAGAAGCTTTTACCTCCCGACCTTTTTCTCATTGTTGGTACATTAAAAAGAGATAAGGGGTGGTTCACCTGAATAGTGTATAGATGGTAGTGGTGGGGAATATGTCCTGATTCTCCTGTTATCCCTGGCACCACCTTAGTGAAACAGGATAGAACAAAGAACTGCATTACCGAGAATATTTGATATTCCACTTTTAAGATTGTATGTTCCCTTTAGAAAATGGTTTTATGGATTTGCTACAGTTGCATTTTTCTTTTAAGGCTAGAAAATATTTGCAATATGAAATAATGCCGTCATGTATGTATGTATGTATTTGGAAACATCCCAAATTGAGAGAAACTGGACTGCATCTGTTAGTATTTGTATGAAATAAGTTGAGCTACGATTGAAAAGCTGTTTGAAACTTGAAGCAGTAAATATTAGGTAAAAGTAACAAAATACTTAACAGCATACTATAAATGCATTTTCTCCTAAGTGTCTAGAAGTTAAATGAAAGCATCATAGGGAGGGATGACTTGAAATATATATATAATAAGAATTCCCTCCCCCTCCTTTGCCTCCCTCCATGCAACAACATATTTGATTTTATATTTACATATACATTCGTTGAAGAAATCAGGCTACTCCATGACATGTGGTATCCTCCATATAATTGTCAAATTACCTCCCAGATTTCCCAATGAGTGTGCATCAAAGTCGGACACTTTTGATATTGTAGTTGAGTAACTACCATGTTTTCCCAAAAATAAGACCCTGTCTTATATTTTTTTTAACCCTGAAATAAGTGCTTGGCCTTATTGCCATGCGCTCAAAAGCCCGATTGGGCTTATTATCAGGGGATGTCTTATTTTGGGGGGAAACAGGGTATGAAGGCTGGGGAAGAGTGCTATAACTTTAAATATCTATGGGTACAATGGACATGTAGACAGGATCCACACCCTGCCTAAACCATGGTTGTCCAACCTTTTGCCTAGCTTGCCTTGAGTGAAGAGAAATGGTCTTGGCCGAATATAAAATATAATTAATATATATAAATCACATAATATTAAAAGTTTACGATGTTGTGGGGAAACATTATTAGCTGTCCAGGGCCACATGGAAACCATGGATTGTACATGCCTGACCTAAACATAATCTGCTCTGGATTTAGTTTGGGGTGTTATGAACCCAGCCTCTCTGGTTTATAAATATTGTTTTAGGTTTAGGTATACATAGCCATTGTGGTTTATTCAGTAATAAAGATTGATATAAGATGAATTGGCTTATACCGTTTGCAAACCCAACCATGCTCCCATTGGTAATGAAAATAAGTGCTTAAGTATCAAATTAATTAAATAATAAACGGGGAGAATGTTATCATGTAGCCTGGAAGCTTTTAAAATGATTTATTATCCACTGTAAGTACTGGCTGAAGACAAAAAAAAAATGGAAGTGCCTGGATCCATAATCATAGATTTGACCTATATGATTGAAGAAGCCTCTATTATGAGAGGTTTGTCTGTTTGAAAGGAAGGAAATGACCTTCATCTGTGTGGTTCCTCAGCTATGTAATATACTCCTTTGAGAGTTTTATTTGGTCCTCATCTATTGTTCAGGAGATCTATAAAGCTGCATTTCTTTCAACAGACTCTATCTTTTTATAAATGGTTATATAAAGCTAAATATTGTAAGGCACTTGAGTGCTTACCAGAATTAAAATGCAGATTATTATCAACTAGATCAATAAAAATAGAAAGCATCTGCATGCCTACTGCAGACCTTAGCTGTAGAAAATATAGTTCATTCTTAGTATTCCATTTTCCTAGTTTATGCAGTACAGATATGCTAATAGAAGTTCCATATTATTCCTGGATTACAAAGTGTAAATTAGTTCCAGTCTTTGATGGCCATATCCTTACAGAACTATGAAAATAGAATTTACAAGAACTACTAAATTTCCCCTTTAGTTTAATATTTCCAACTTTGTAACTTGGCTGTTGGCCTTATATTCTCTTATCTTTTTAAAAATATAGATAGGGTAATACTGAGTTAGAGTTAGTTACTAGAACCATTTGTTAGTAAGCATTACAACATTAAAATTCCCTCACAGTAGTGTGAGGGAATAGGGGGAGCTGTTCCAGGAAGAAAGTAATCCCATTTAGTGCCAATCTTTACTTCTAATCCTGTGGGCCCATCCTAGGGGCCAGGTTATTGGACTGCTGGGGCAAGTGGCCTCAAGATGTTGATGGTGAATACCAGATGTGTCTATAAAGTCACAGTTTGGATGAACTGGCAAATCTGGCATGTATTATCAAAATCTGATTGGGTTGGGGAGCCATTACTTAGAAATTTACATCATCATGTTTTGGGCCCTTCACTCTCCATACTGTGGCAGGGTAGAATGATGACATTGATAATTAGGGGCCCTTTTCTGGGATCAAGAATGCTCCTGAGGTATTAAAGTGAGAATGGGTCATAGGAAGAAGGTAAGGATCTTGCTGTTTGGATCTGGTTAAGCTTAGGAGTTTATGGCATGTATCACAATTGTGGACTTACATGGCCCCAAACATGTAAGTGATCATATATTAGATCTCATATTAGCCTTAAGAGATGTTAAAATTATTTGGATATTAAGAAAATGTCCTTTGCTTTTGTTGTGGTCATCTCACATACTGATTCAAGTTAGTTTGCCTCCCATGACTTATATGGGGCAGGAGTGATATAATGGTCTGTCTCAAGTGCCTTCTGATCTGAATCTCCAGCACACAGATTTTAGAAAGAGAGCATCTGGTTTGCAGAGATTGCTGATCCTCAGATATTGAGCAGGCAGATTTGCCAAGTGTTTGGTGAGCCATAGACGCATGAGATAAGATTTCTTTGAAATCTTGGGATTTTATGGAATCTAGGAGGCGCACCTTTTCTGTCATTGCCGTTGTTCTCCGGAACGATCTCTGATACACGAAAAGCCCCAATTTTGCTTGTTAGAAAAGCCATTAAGACCTGGTTCTTCCATGAGGAATTAGTGACCAGTTTAGTGACAGATTGCTCTGTTCTGTTGCTTAGTCAGCCTTATATTACTTACATGTTACAGATGTTTAATGTTAATGCATTTTCCTTTTATGCTGTTTGCCATTTAGGATTATATTGTTTCAGTTGAGTGGCCTTATAAATCTTATTAATAAATAAATGAATTATTTCCAGTACCCTTCTTTCCTAAGCTGTTAACCTTAGGTTTGAAACAGGGGCGGGTTTCAAAACCTATTGCTACCAGCACACACGCGACTACCGGTTCGCCCAATCCGGGGTGAACCGGTAGCAACCCACCACTGGTTTGAAAGTATTACTTGAATATCTCATAATACAGCAATTTATAAAAGGATGAAAAACTAGGAATTGGCTAAACAAGTCATTATTGATTTGGTCAACTTCACAACTGTGATTGGTTTTTACTTTGAAATTCTATAATGTGTTTTTCTGATCTGAATTTCCAGCACAGAGATTTTAGAAAAAGAGCAATGTGAGACAGAAAAACAAAACAGCAACCGAGAGCTATAACTGTACTGGACAACAAATTATTGAGAAAGTGCTAAATATTAATGAGAAATACTGTACCTCCTGTCTATGCTGAAAATAATATAGAATTGAATTTAAAAAAAGAGAGTAATGTAAATTATATGATACATAAAGAATAAAGTGTTGCATTAAAAAAATAACATAATAGTAGGTCCTATTTAATTATATAAAAGTAGTACTGGATGATTTGAGTTAGGCTTTTTTTTTTTTTAAGAGAACAGAAATGCCTCAAGAAAAATATATATAACATTTGTTTGCTTCATACCAGTTATTTAAAACACATACACATACATGATTGTTAAGTAATTCCATATAGTACACAAGAGACTTTAGCATGGAAAGCAGTATTAAAGGGTGTTTTTAATTATATATATTTTACAATTAACCTTTCTGTAAGACTCATCAGTTTCCTAACTTTATTTAGCTTCCTATATATGAGATAAGCCTAATTTATGCAGTAAAAATTCACTTAACAAATCTGACAAGGCAATTGAAAAACTTCATGAGAGAGAGAGGGAGATGTATGAAATGTACTATTTTTAGTAAGCTGTATTATTAAAAATAAGAACTACAAAAAACAGCAAATGTTTCAATTGGTAGCATAGGTTATCATGTTTTCCAAAAGAATATTGTGAAGGTAAAGCAGATGAAAGATAAGTAGTGATCAAATTAGAAAGGCATGAATATTGTACATTTCTGTTCTGTTCTGTTCTGAAGGCACTGAGGTCTTTTGCTCTAGTATTACAGTAAAATATGTTAAAGAATGGAGCTTCTGTAGTGAACAACAACCTAATTATAATTGAACAATATTGAAATTGCTGATACTTTCATTTTTTTCCTTATTCAATTTTTCTTTTGCCTGACTTTTTTGTTATAACCATAAAGTATAAACCACTGAATACATGCATAGAAGATGAAATATAAATATATTTATAAGTAACTGGCTACTTTGGTTTTAATAATACTTTATTTTGCTATTCTTTTTCAGTCGAACAGCAGCATGCAAGAATAAATTTATAATTGGAAAACAACATTCTGCTTTGATTAATGCATTTAAAGATGGCCTATTAATTTTACACCATGTTACAAGAATAGCTAATAATAGTAAGAAAAGGTAAGAATGTCAATATATTGTACCTACATTTTATTTCAAACATTTTTCCTGTTTTTGTTTTTGTTGTTAAAAAAGATTTTCATTGCTGTTTTCAAATATGAACCATTAAACATTGGCTTCAAGATTTCAATTTAAAAAATCCCACATAAACAAGATGCAAGGGAATATGATGAGAATAGAATATAGTAATGGATAGTTCAGTTTTCTGAATGAATAAAAAATGTTCTGTATGTGAATTGGAGACACCTGTCCTGTCTTGGTTGATTGTGAAAAATTACCATACTTTTCGGAGTATAAGACACACTTTTTTCCTCTCTAAAAGAGGGTGGAAATGTTGGTGTTTTTATACACCAAATACAGCCATTTTTGGCCTCCCGAAGCCCCACCCTGCACCTCTGTTTTCGTGCAAAAACAGGGCATGCAGAGGCTTTGGGAGGCCTGCAGAGTGCTCCTGTGGGCTGGTGAGGGCAAAAGCACCCCCATTTTTGTGAAAAACAGGCCCATTTTTCGCAAAAATGGGGCGCACAGAGGGTTTGTGAGGCCTGCAGAGTGCTCCAGGGGGCTGGTGAGACAAAAACTTTTTTTTTCTTGCTTGCTTCTTCGAAATCTTGGTGCGTCTTGTACACTGGGGCGTCTTATAGTCCGAAAAATATGGTAGTTAGTGTTGGCCTGATTAGTACTTGGTTGGCAAGTACCAAGAAAACTCATATAGGCAAGAAAGGCAAATTGAAAAATATGTCTCAAAAGACATATTTGAAGAATTTTAATTGCTTTACACAGCTCTAATATTTGTGATGTACTACAATATAGATATATAGATGACAGACAGACAGATAGATATATAGATAGAAAGATTGATAGGAAGATAGATAGGAGAGAGAGAGAGCGCTGTTTGAACTCAGGTTTACACTGCATCTATAATCTGCCAGGGCTGTGACTGTTTTTGTTCAGATTTTTTTTTCACCCCAAAAGTGTTGTGACTTGAGATTCATCTGTGACTTTTTATGATACTGTGAGTTAGTGGCTAATTATATTACTTCTCTCATTAAAGGTATATTGCTCAGCACTGGAACACACAGCCAAAATTAGATTTTTTCAGAAAATCAGGTTTTCATAGGAAAAAGATCATTGTTCAGCTACACTTACTCAGGTTTTAATCAATCTTGAAACAAAGGTCCAGATACAAAACAGTCCTTGAACTCAGAGCAAGGAGCAGACCTTAGTTGATCTGGATATTGACATCCATGTATATTAGAACTTCAAGTTCACTACTTTTTCCAGAAAAAAAAATAGAGTCTGCCAATGGAAAATGATATTTTGTGTAGAACTGGATTAGGATTATTTGGAGACTAAATAGTTTTAGTATTTATCCTAGTTACAGCTGTACTTATTTTTAAATGTTCTTTAAGTGTTATTGAAAATCACCACCACAGACAATAATCTGTTGTCCTCTAATGCAAATTACAAATGGAATTACAGTGTTTTTCTATATAGCTTTGATATAAAGAAAACTTTAGAATCCTCAACACAAAGACAAACGATGCATTCTTTTTTCCAACAACAGACAAGAAAAATGTTCAAGCTAGCTGTTTTCCAAATTGACAGCTAAACAATATGAACAGCTTGCTTAGCCATCTTACACATTTATTTCTCCATCTTTTATTGTTATGTGCTGTCATTAAGTATATAATCACACAGATAATTTGCAAAATAAATATAAATTGTTAAAATACAATAAACATGCAAAAATAAACCCCCATGACCTGAAAGGACTTTAAAGTGTTTGACAAGCCTTCCTGAGGAAACATGTCGATAAGTAGGATGCCCCAAGCAAGGGTAGGGAGCTTTTAACTAGTTTGCCATCTAAGAGAAGCATTACCTAAGAAAAGGACTTTTGAAGATTTTATTGCACTCATAAATGAACATGGAATGACATACTTTTTCATGTTCAACATTGTGTAGGTCTCCAAAGATTAGTGTTGCAAATTGCATTTAAATGAACTGTTAATCAGCAGAAACCTTTTAGCAGAGGCAAGAATGTTTCTAATCTGTCCTAGTTTCTGCTGTATTTTTTATTAGTTGGAACTTTGAACAGTTTTTAAATAAATCCCCAAATGCATTATATCTATAATAATCTAACCTAAATATTGTCAACACATGGAAAATTGGGACTAGTTTATATCTGTTCAGCAGTTGCAGCAGATAATCTAGTCTTCTGTCAATAAAATGGGTTATACAAAGCCAATAAATTGCATACCTCTGACTTTAGGCAGAGAAATATTCAACTCCTCCACTCAGGACAGCACTACAGGGCACTACAGGTCAAAATAACTAGATGTAGGGACAGTTTTTTCCTTCATGTCATCACTCTGCTGAACTCCTAATTCTCACAGTGCTGTCTAATGTCTCTGTATATTTTGCCATATTGTATGGCTGTATTACAGGTAGTCCTCGACTTAAAATCACAATTGAGCCCAAAATTTTTGTTGCTGAGAGATTTGTTAAATGAATTTTGCCCCATTTTAAGACCTTTCTTGCTATACTTGTTAAGTTGTCACTGCAGTTGTTAAGTTAGTTACATGATTGTTAAGTGAATCGGGAATCGTCACCATTGACTTTGCTTGTCAGAAAGTTGCAAAAGGTGATTATGTGACCCTGGGACACTGTAACTGTTATAAATATTGAAGTGATGTCCCAGTGCCTGGAGGCCGTACGGATCTGGATGGGGAGGAACAGGCTCAGGCTCAACCCATCCAAGACCGAGTGGCTGTGGTTTCCGACGACCCGATACAGTCCGCTGATGCCATCGCTGACTATTGGGGGCGAACCATTGGCCCCCATGGATAGGGCTCGCTCCTGGATTCACGGCTGTCTTTAGAAGAGCATTTGACGGCCGTGACCGGGAGGATTTTTCATCAGGTTCGCCTGATTCGCCAGTTGCGTCCCTTTCTAGATCGGGGCTCCCTACGCACAGTCACTCATGCCCTCGTTATCTCTCAGCTGAACTATTGCAACACTCTCTACATGGGGCTCCCCTTGAGGTGCACTCGGAGGCTCCAACTGGCGCAGAGTGCGGCCGCGCGGGTGGTTATGGGAGCGACGTGGAGTTCCCATGTAACACCTCTCCTGCGCGAGCTGCACTGGCTCCCGGTGGTCTTCCGAGTGCGCTTCAAGGTTCTGGTTATCACCTTTAAAGCGCTCCATGGCTTAGGACCTGGTTATTTATAGGACTGCCTGCTACCACCAATAGCCTCCCACCGGCCAGTACGCTCCCATAGAGAGGGGCTCCTCCAGGTGCCGTCGGCCAAACAATGTTGGCTGTCGGCTCCTAGGGGGAGAGCCTTCTCTGTGGGGGCACCTACGATCTGGAACGAGCTCCCCCCGGAGATATGGAGGATCCCGGATCTGCGCACCTTCCTCCGCGCGCTTAAGACTCATCTATTTCATCAAGCCGGCCTGGCCTAAATCTTCCCCCTTTTACATGTGGCAATTTTAAATTTGTTTTAATTATAGGGTTATGGGTAAGGCGTTTTAAATTGGGGAGCCATTTTGGATTTAATTTTCTTTTAACTGTATTTTAATGTTTATATTATATGTTTTTTTAATCTTGGCTGTTCACCGCCCCGAGTCCTTCGGAAGAGGGGGCGGTATAAAAATTTAATAAATAAATAAATAATAAATAAAATATGAACCAATTGCAAAGCATCTAAATTTTGATCACATGATCATGAGAATGCTGCAGCACTTGTAAGTATGCAAAAACAGTCATAAGTCACTTATTTTAGTGCTGTGTAATTTTAAATGGTCACTAAATGAACTGTTGTAAATCAAGGACTACCTGTATTATTATTTATCTTTCTTATTATTTTCTTTATTCCCCTCTCTTATTGGTATGATTAGGATGATTATTATCATTACTTGGTTGCTTTACATGTACACTGAGAGCTTCTGCACCAGAGACAAATTTCCTTGTGTCTAAACTTACTTGGCCAAATAAAGTATTCAGTTCAATTCAATTCAGTACTACCTATGTGAACTATCCACTAACAACATTTATCTAGTCCATCCTTTATCTAAAGCATAAATTTAAAATGTGAAATTTCTACTTCATCTGAATCTAAATTTTTTTGTTGATTTAGGATTTATTAGATTTCTATACCGCCCTTCTCCCAAAGGACTCAGCCATATTAAAACACATATAAACACATATAAATATACAAAATTTAAAACAATTTAAAATTGAATATATAAAAATTTGGCCCATAGATTAAAACACACATACACCCATTCTAAAATTTGTATTAGGCCAGGCCGGCTTGTTGGAACAAGAGGGTCTTCAAGGCGCGGCGAAAGGTACGCAGGTCAGGGATGAGACGAATCTCAAGGGGCAGCTCATTCCAGAGGGCTGGTGCCCCCACAGAGAAGGCTCTCCCCCTGGCGGTCGCCAGTCAGCATTGTCTGGCTGACGGCACCTGAGGACCTCTCTCTATGGGAGCGTATTGGCCGGTGGGAGGCTGTTGCTGGCAGGTTTTACCTTCAGGTTACATTTACCTGCTAAAAATAATGTGGAGGGTAATGAAATCCTTTTCAACCCATATAGTGTAACTCCCAAGAGCTGACTAGGCCTATTATTAGGCATACAAATACTGAAACCACTTAAAAATATGCATTGTTGCCACTTAAGTAATATATGCTGAAAGGTCCTGAGAAGTCCCAAAATACCAGTCTAACTAGAATAAGGAAAAATAGGGCCAACCAGTTGTTAACTCAAGTAAAAATAGATAAATAATCACATCATCTAAAAGAATTTGATGATAAGAATATCATCTAATAACATCATCTAAAACATCATCTTGATGATAAGAATAAAAGAATTTTATTAACCATTTTTACACCAGTATATATATTTAATAATGTTCAGGTAAATGTTCTCACTATTTTATAACAGTACATTTTCAGATTCCAAATTGAATTTGTTCAACTAGTAAAACAAAAATTGAAGAAATATTAGTGATACTCTTACTTGTCATGATTAAGAGTACCTTTAGCTCTTCGTTGCTCGAGAAAACATCTTGGTCTTACTGTTGTGCCAAATTAATACCAGCTTCGTTGATGGTATTAAATAATCAACATTAACAACGGGAATAGGGAGCTTCTAGGAAGAAAACTCAATGTCTTAAAAGTGTGAAAATAATCCCAAAGTGTGCCAAAATTACCAAAATGAGTGACATGATTTTCCAGATTTTGTTAGCTTATTTTCTTTTGGGGAGAGTTTTTAGAGCTAGCATTTGAAAGCTGTCTGCTTATTAGAAGTGTCCTGTTCTTACTGCCACGCTTACCTCCTCCCTACCCTGACAAAACACGTAAAAAGATGTCCGTGCCATCTTTTGTATATCATTATCCCTACCCTTCTGTGTCCCACTGAAAGGTTTGGTAGCCATGTTGCAAATATTGTTGATTTCTGCTTTAAAAGCTTTTGCTTTTGCGGTTTAAGTAGATTTCTATTTACAGCAGATTAAATATTTGTTTTCTGGCTGCTTTTCTTTTCTGAATTCACCTATCATTGAAAACAGAAACTGAAGAGTTTTATTTCTTTTTAGCAGTTTGCTTTCAATATTCTGTGGTGAACACTATTTTTCCCCCTCATACTAAAATTAGTCTCTGTGTAAATGAATGATACTATCTCACAGAAGGAACGCTGCATCTTGTAGCTGAGCAATTTTTGCTGTCATAGAAAGAGATAAACAAGCTTACTATGGCTGATTTTGATTTTGAGTATTTGGTGAATATGCAAGGAAGCAAATAGGGAAACGGTAAATGGAACTGGGTAATAACAATTAAATGTTCTGAGTTAAAACAGTTAACCAACAAGAGGCATAAGCCAGCATTAAGTAATTTTTTCATTTGTCTTTTTATCTAAAGAAATGTATATGGCCCCTCCCATCTTTTGGACTACTGCCCACAATATACAAATATTGTTACGATGGCAGTTATGGCTGGGATTTCCTTTGCTAAACAATGCTGTTGTAAACCACTTTGACATGTGACTGCATTGTATAGCAATGACAATTCTTTGCGGCCCCCATTGTTGTTGCTAAGTGACCACCTCCTTGCAACTAAAATTGCCACACGGGAGAGGGAGTGCCTGGTGGTACGGATGGCTAGGGAAGCATGGTGTAAGCACAGTGATGGCTGCTGCCTATTGGGAGAGGGTGTGTGAGTAGGTGGGGAATCGTGGCAACTTGCAACCTTCCCCTAATGACTTCCCTATTGACTTTGCTTGTGGGAAGCTAGCAGGGAGGGTTGCAAATTGAAATCATGTTACTGCCAAACTCTGTAACTGTCGTAAGTGCAAACCAGTTGCCCACCTTGTGTGACAGTGGACACTGGAAGCTGGAACTTTGAGGAGCAATCATAACCACCACTCACTTAGCGCTATCTTTGAATGATTGCTGACTGGTGGTTATTCAAGAACTATTTGTAACAACTTTCTCCTTGCCAGTCGATAGCATCACAGACTAGAAAGTTCTGCTTCATTTTCAATCTTTTTAAACGATTCAGGTATTCTAAAACAGGATAAACAAGTGATGTTGTATCTCATCAAATTAATGTATTTTTCATTTTCTGTAGGATGGCTGGTTGTGGTGAACTTGATCACTCAATCAATATGCTTCCAACGAACAAAAAGACAAACGAATCATGTTCAAATGCAACCCCATCTCTTATGGTTCCCGAATGTGCTATCTGCCTGCAAACATGTGTCCACCCTGTGAGTCTGCCCTGCAAACATGTCTTCTGCTATCTGTGTGTAAAAGGAGCTTCCTGGTTGGGAAAGCGGTGTGCACTCTGTCGGCAGGAGATTCCAGAGGACTTTCTTGATAAACCAACTTTGCTTTCACCTGAGGAACTCAAAGCAGCCAGTAGAGGCAATGGGGAATATGCTTGGTATTATGAAGGCAGAAATGGCTGGTGGCAATATGACGAACGTACTAGTAGGGAGTTGGAAGATGCATTTTCTAAAGGTAAAAAGAGCACTGAAATGTTAATTGCTGGTTTCTTATATGTGGCAGATCTTGAGAACATGGTTCAGTATAGGAGAAATGAGCATGGACGTCGCAGGAAAATAAAACGGGACATAATAGATATTCCAAAGAAGGGAGTGGCTGGGCTTAGGTTGGACTGTGACTCTACTGCTATCAATCTAGCAAGAGAGAGCTCTGCAGATGGTGCAGACAGTATACCACCGCTAGGTGCTGCTGCTGCTGGGCAGCCTCCAGCAACCGTTAGACCCCTTCCTACACTAGATGGTCAGCTGACGAGTCCTGCAACACCATCACCTGAGGACAGTACTCTAGAGAACTCTCTTGCCAACTTGCAAATCAATGGAGACAGTTTGGTTGAAAGGAGCCATAGGGGTGAGGGAGAGGAAGACCATGAATCACTATCTTCTGGTAGGATGCAAGTTATTGACACCTCCATAGAGGAAACAGAATCGGATGCTAGCAGTGATAGTGAGGATTTGTCTGCCCAATTTCAGCTGCCTGTACCCTCTGCTCAGCAGAGACACCTGAATGGAAATCAGCCAGCCTTGGATAGACCAGTGGCAGGCAGTGGGGTGGGAAATACCACTGTGAGATCGAGAAGGCCTGATGGACAGTGCACAATAACAGAAGTCTAATTCTAGAGCCATGGTTTTAAAATTCAGTCTTATACCTGTACATTTTGTCTGTATTGACATTGCGCTCCAGCCTAGCAGTCTTATTTTAAAGTGTTTCCGTATGAGAAGAAGGGGAAGAAAGGAAACCTGATCATCTAACATTAAAAGCTGTCTTTTAATTTGTCTGGAACACTGAACATTTAAAAATCTGGGCATGTGTTAATGGTTTGGAAGCTGTTTAGCAACACTCAGTTTTGTAAAATGTCTGCTTTTATTTTGTAGTATATGCCCTCTCCATATTAAAACCCATCCTCCTTTTTTGACAAATGTATATTCACTGTACAACTTGGAACTGTTATTATTTGTTGCATTAAGTATCTTAAGTAACTATCTGCATGGATTGATGTATGGAAGGAATATTAAAACTGGAAATGATCAAGAGTCTGGAAATGTGCAAGATGCTTAATTTTAACATAAAATAGTTGTGACTCCTGAAATTCAGATGTTTTACTGAAGCTGAGAGATAAATCATCCTGAAAATGAAATGTAAAATAATTTCTGTTGCAGAGTTTTGCTTGTAAAGAAGTCATGGTGTCTTCATTGGCTCTCTGTCTAGTCCCTGTAGCTTGTTTGCGTCTTTCTTGTGTCGTTTTTGTTACAAGATTTATAATTTAATAAACTACATTTTATCAACAATCTTAATTGAACCCATGTCACACTAAAGACATGTCTTGAAAGAGATATATGCACTGCCTTTGTTTGGTTAATAGAATAACAAAATGCACTGCAGAACAAGATGACTAGAATAAATGTTGAGCAGAAAAATAAAGATGCACAATAAGCTCCTATGGAAAGATGATTACAATAGTTGAAGAGAATGATAGAAAAGACACTGTAACATTTGCTTCTCCTAGTTTCTCTAAAACAGGATGCTAGAAAATTATTTTTACATTGAAATTATCAGAATTTTGTTTTCACTTAGCGTGTTATTTAAATTATGTTTTACCAGGAATTGTTTTACATGTATTTACAATAGAACCAGATTGGTCTAGTGGTTAAGACACCAGGCTAGAAACTAGAAGACACTGTGTTATAGTCCTGCCTTACATATGGCTAGGTACCAGCTGGCTAGGTAACTTTGGGACACTCACACTGTCTCAGCCCAGCCCACCTCACTGGGTTGTTGATATTTTGAAGAAAAAAGGAGGAAATATTAGATATGTTCACTGCCTTGTATTAGTTGTAAAAATAATAAAGGCAAGCTAAAAAATAAATTAAAAACCCTCTAATAATTCAGCAGCATAATTAAATGATTTTTTTAAAGTAATGTAGTTGAGAAGTCCTAGCATGCAATGGGCCACCTGATTATAGCTTAATCTCAAAGTACTGTAGTTGTAGTTGCTTTACTGAGATATATTGCAATACATATAAAAATATGTACTTTGTATTACGAGCCCATCAAACGTAGGTTGAACAAAACGATTCCTAATAACTGAAAGTAATAGTGTCTGAAGCTCCATAATTATTTTTTTGATGCACTATGTATGCTACTTCTATCCTAAAATTTTGATCTGATGGCAATCTGGTAAATGTATTTAATTCAGGAATTAAATTTCCAATACATGTAGATGAAAACAGGAAAAATATAAAATTATTCAGACAATAGAATAAGTTCATATTAGAGTAGCAGTTCCTGAGTTCCACCCATTATTACCTTACAGCAATAGCAGTAAACCAGAATTTAATGATTAGTCTGCAGATTTCTAAACACTAATCACCTACCCCAAAATTTCCTTACCCAACTTGCCCAGTTATTACACCTAGAATAGTTGGCTAGTGCAAACATCATTTACTTAAACCTCTGCAGTAATAAGGGGAGATACTCCAGCCTTCTCAGAGACATCAGGCTCTAAAAACATAATGTTTAGATTACAACATTTTAACCCTTAAGAGGTAAAAATATTGGCCTGGGATACACTAGTATCCCAAATCTGAATCTACACTTTCCTTATTTTGTATCTTCCTCCAGGATGATACAAAATTATCCATGAAGATCAAGCAGGGCAAAGATCTCCCCATAAAGATACAGTATGTTTTAACCCATATATTAAACAACATAGTCTCTCACACACATCTATAAAAGCTAGTCTGGATTTCAGGCACAGGAAAGCAATTGTCACATACCAAGGGACATGAACCATAGCTCTTAAAAAGTTTAGCCAAGTTGCTTCTAAACATCTTAAGAGTTTTGTAGATACAAGATTATATGCAATAGATCAAGATGCTCAATACTTTAAAAAACATTAAAACAGATACATAATTATTGTTTCTGTTATTAGCAAATTTGGCTCATCAAACTGCACCAGTTCCTACTCTACTTGCCAATAACTAGGAAACCTGAGCAATGGAATTATTTAAATAATTTATTTCTGCCCATAGATCTCCTTTACAGAATTGAACAAAACATTTAAAGGTTCTGAACAATTACATAATTCATATTCTTTTTTTGCTCACATTCACAAGAAACTTAAATTTTAATATTAAATATTAAATATTAATTATTAATGTTTACTTAACACATGTGAAATAGTTTTATGAGACTAGAGACATAATAGACTCCAATTAAAAGTAGACATCCCAATTATGTATTTTACCGAAGAAAATATCTGACTCGCGAACAACTGAATGTGCTTAACTGATTTTTAAAATTCTCCTTTCCATATCTCAATTTTTACTAGTGAATTAGTGAGTATGCAATCAAGAAATAGATGCTCAAATCTGCTTACGAGATAGTACCAGGCCTTAATTTCAACAGATTCATCAAGGCTACTGCAATAAACACAAGTCTGCAGAGATCAGTTCCCAGCTGTAGATGTTCCCAAATTGCTCTAATGTCCTTAACTATATGTTCAACTTTAATTAGAATGGTGAATGATGGAACATAGTCCTTCCCCCCCCACCCCCGTCCAGAGGGAAGGTTAGATTTTTTTATTTTGGTATCACATCTTGTGAACTAAGAGAACAAAACCATCTCCTGCTTCGGAGGCCTTGCCACTTTCTTCATGCTTCTGCCTGCAGCTGGGAAGAGCACCTACTCTGATCTCAAGAAAAGTATAGAAATTAGGTACTTAATAAAGGCACGTTCAGCAAAGAAGTCCTTTTCTTCAGCAAAAGCAGTTAACATAGTTTAACAGAGGTCTGTTAAGGCAATCTAGATTGATGAATTCACCCACTACTTCAAACTTTGATATCTAAGGACTAGAGCACAGCTGTAACCTTACATACAACCTTACATTTTAACTTTTAGGAGGAAGTTCAATGGAATATACTGATACATCAGGGTAGATATGTATGCGGCTGTGTTGTATGCTGTGTCAGCTAATAAGCAAAGACATTACTCCCTCAACAGGTGCCTAGATTGTTGAATGTACTATTCTAGTTTTAAGCTTATTCATCAAAATTAATTTTAAAGTTATGCAGTTGTTTGGATTTGATTTCCAAGTTTCCTGTTTTCTGAGTCCTTCAGAAAACAGGAACCCAACTGCTACACTATGCTGGGAAAATGAACTTCTGTTGGAAAAATTCATATTCAAGTGCTCTGTTTACTACGTGTACTCCAAAGCATTTTGGGAAGTGCATCAGAAATATTGCATAGCCTTGTTTACACTATTATGTCTGACCAGCTAACGTAAGTTGAACATGGTGTATGTAGAATGTGCTGAAAACTACAGCAGGTAACTTTACTTCTACCATGAGATATGTTGAGTAAATATGTGCATATGGACATCTGAAAAACACTGGTTCATCCAAGATGCTTCATACAAGCTAATTAGCAAGGTAAGGTCAATGGAATGTTATCTTTAGATTGTTGGTACTATCCATTGTGCTGCACAGACTTCAAGCCATTAAATAAATTTCATAGTTGTGGCAACTAGTAGTACGAATATAAAAAATGTCAAATTTTGCCATACATCTGAGTGAATATTTCCTCCTTACTTCAACTTTATAAATATATAAAGTGAAGGTAAGAAGTTCACAATGAAACGGAATGTCTCCAAGAGCTCTGTTCGTAGAACGAGAACCCAGTAATTAGATGTGAGGTTGAAGGCAGGAGCTTTGCTTAGAGATAAATATAGAAGGAACGATTTATAATACAACGAAAAAGCATTTGGCATTTTTCAGTTTCGATTTGAGGTTGTCAGTCAATTCACAGTGAGCTAGTTATTCAAAGGTATGACATGTATGAATTGTAAATTATTTGTGATCATCTGCAAGACTTTAAGAGTTGAGGTTACCAATGTCAACTAAGCCTATTTCTAAAAAAGGGGGGCAGCTTCTCAACACAAAATCTATATATACAAACCACACATAATGTCAGCATTTAAAAATTCTGAGGAAAATTATTTTCTCAAGTCGTACGGTTCTTACACATGCCACTTTATGCACATTAATTTCCAAGTGGGTTCATATCAGGTGGTACCATCAGGGTGGGAGTCTTTGTAGAAAAAAAAAAAACAAGACCAGAAAATGAGTATTGTTTAAAAAAACCTGGGGTGGCACCTCTAGTTAATTGTCAGTGCAGTGCCAGTGGCATTCCAGGAGAGCTGTCCTAATAAGGCTAACACCTACTGAGTTCATAATGTTTGGAAGGTTTCCCAGCAGTCATTTTTGGCAGCAGCTGTTTTAGTTGAAGAAAGTAAGATGAAAATTGTCTCATTTATGTTTTGTTCTCTGAGCCAATGCCTGCAAATTAGCAGGACCACCCCAAACTCTTCCAAATATCTCTTTTTCTCTTCTCAAGGCAGCTTCTAATTGTAGCTCTCTTCCTGCTGAAACAACTTTCTTCACAGCCTGAATGACTTCAGCAGGGCCTGTGGTATATAGCTTAAGCCATGTGTGCATTTCTCTCAGAGACTCGTGTTCATCAGACGAGGACAAGATGGAATCTACCAAACCAATATGAAGGGCATTCTGTGGATCCAGTTTCACAGCACCACTCAGCAACTTGAGGGCAGGGCTGCTGCCAAGGATTTGGATAAGCCTGGCAGCTCCCCCCCAGCCTGGCACTAAGCCCATCTGCTTGTGGACAAATCTAATTTCACTCTCTGGAGTCATTAACCTGTCAATGAAAAAAAAAAAGATTATGTTTGAAAGTGTTGCAATGATACCATCTTAGCTTCATTTCAATGCAAATCACAGTTCTGGATAAAAGTTGCTGACAATGAACACCTTTTAATACTAGACAATCAAGTATCAGAAAATTGATTTGCTGCAATTTTATCCTAAGTAATACAAAACAAAGGGATCATTTAAAGTGAATATCTAAACATTCTTTAGAACTAATGTTGACATTCTGGCTGAAAAAATTAGAAAGATCTTAAAGTTCATGTTCATCATAGCATATCTTGCTCAAATATTTCCCTCCTGCTTTACTTTTACCTTTGCAAATATTTAAAAATTATAATTGCAGCGGACAAACACATATCACACTGTTAACAACAAAGGTATTGGGAGAAATTACAATATTAACAAGCATCTCTTTTTCAAATGAAAATTAAAAGATATGCTGGAAATAACGGAAGAAAGCATACACAATACCCATCCAAAAGTTTTGGCTGATCTTACAGACAAGTCAGACAAGTTGTGGTTGGCAGCGGAGCTGTGAAGACCTAAATGAAAACCTACTCAAGTACTCTTGCCAA